AAGTAGAGATAGTCTAAGCTCTAGATAGACATACTCTGAGCCTCAGATAGACATAGTCTAAGCTTTATGTGTCAGTCAGATGAATCGAAGAGGCCTGGACTATGCTCTACACACGCTTGGATAAGAACTAGGCGGAAGACTATATTTATTGGTTATAACATGCATCTATTTACCATAGGTATTAGTGAGTAGGAAGTATTCAGAGCCTGCTATCCTCGGTACTCTCAGCTTTGTGTAGAGATAGTCTAAGCTTCAGGTAATGTAATGGATAGAGAAGCTTAGACTATATTCTATATCAGCTTGGATTGAATGAGGCAGAAGGCCACATGTTTGCAAGTCTGAGCCAAAAGATGACACTAGTATCATGCTTGTCACCTTTTTCCGTAGTCATCGGAGACAACTACTGTCAAGGTCATTGTATAAACAACAATGAAGAATGAAGTCTATTGTTCCCTCTTCTATCCACCAACCTAATCCTACGGATCTTTTACGTTTTAGGCAACACCGCAGGAATCCGTTAAAGGAACGAAGTCTCAACCATACACTTCTAGAAATTTGTAAAACACTATTCGTGATTGTCTGTCCAGAGAGGAAATGAACGTCTATGCCCTTTCTACCCGGCCACTCCCGCATTACCAACCCCCGCCGTCTGTGTCTTCCGATTACACAAAAACCACGCAGCCTCCAGAGACAACCTCGGCTTCATCCTCCGCACCCCTGACTTCGCCACCACCCTCCAGAGAGGTTTCAGCTTTGCAGACTACAATATTGTTCCCAACACGTCAGCAATCTACGAAACCGGAACAGATAACGTTGATCGGCTCGCTCTCGAGGTTGACACCAGAAACAAGTGGAAAAGAACCTGGCAGCTCAATGGTCAGGATTGAACCGGTGAAATCCGGCAATATCGCAAGGCGGAGCAGGAACTGTTCCAAATCCACAGCTTTGACATGCTCACCACGGCACGTGTCCGGGATGTGGTGGCTTATGTGCAGCCAGACTTCACGGGGAAGATCTATGGGTACACTGTCAAGTCACGGTCGGATATCTCGACCAACCGCGACTTCTGCTTGAGAGATTACGTTGCCGGGCCGTTTAGACGGTGGTGGAGCTGGAAGATAAGAGGGAACTTGTACACTGGGAAAGATCCAGCATTAGGTAGGCACCTAGATATGTAGGTAGGTGTGAATCACAACTGTGTCTCCGAGAAAGGCCACTCAATGAGATGTAAAAGCTTTACGATCAAGACCCCGCACAAAGTCCCCGTGAGTGTCGTGTTGAATAACCATCTGTATTATCTTCTGCATATTTCATATATTTTATATCTCAACCTTCCAAAGGGAGATAGATGATCCTGTCCCAGTTTTCCCATACCCAAAAATTATGCTCCAATCCCGAATCATTACCGGCCTAACCAAGGCTCATTCTACATCATCCATTACGTCCCTGATCGTTCGTCTATTTAGGGAGCGCCTTTCTCTTGATGGTGTTCATCCTCTCCAACAGTCCGATATCCCACCATCCCTCCCAGACCGTCTTCCTCTTCTTGGGAGCACTAGGAATAGGGGGCGGGCTGAATATCACCGTCTCCAGCGCCGGACTGGGACTCGTTTGCTCCTTGAAGCGAGAGCTCCTGCCTGGAGGCGAAGGGACCACGATGGGAGGTGGGACGGGCACACCGCCGGACCTGCGGTTGCGCCGAGCGGCCATGAAGCCTCTAATAGGCGACAAAGGAGAACAGGGAAGGCGAGTTGGGACCCGTTTGTGTTCTTCGGGGATTTTGTCGTTACTGGAAGACGTGACTGTTGCTTGTGTGTTCGGGATTGTCAAGGTAAGCACTGGGACCCGAGACGCCAGGGGGGAGAGACCCTGATATTGTCCCTCCTTCTCATCAGTGGGAGATCCTGGGATCGTCGGCATTGTCTTGGCTGGCGCTCGCATGTGTAGCCTGGGCGGTGGGCGCAGCCCTTTGGTCGGGGGACTGCCGCCAGTGAAAACGCTATTGATGGAAGATGCGTCCGATTCACAGCTGTATCTCGGCTGAGTGATTGACAAACCGAGGGCGTTATTATTTCCAACAGAAAGCAAAGCCGCAGGGGGAGCACGGCTGTTTCCGCGGTCGCGGATGGGCACCAGCGGAGGAGGGGGGAAGCTTGGGTAGTAGGAATTGGTGGAAGCCATTGACTTTGTGCCAAGAGACACGTCCGACTCCCATGCTTTCCCAACACCACGCACTCCTCCGTAGGTGCCCGCGCGCCCCTAACCCTCAATATCCTTGTTCTTGGTCTCGCGACGGATGCGTTGCCAGAGGCCGAGGCAGGCCAGTGCGGAAAAGGCGAAGAGCAGGCAGATGGTGATGCACAATCCCCACACAGCCTTGATTTGGTAGCAGGTTGTCTGGTCAAGCAAAACGAAGCTGATGTAGGAAACGGTCTTGGTGATGATCGACTTGATTGGGGAAGGTGCGGACGAAAACAGGCCGGCAGACCATTCTGAGGACGGGAGAGCAGCGCAGTTGAGCATGGAAAGGGGCTTTCCAATCAAGGAAGCTACGACGATGGAGGCAACGAGGAGGAGGCTGTCGAGACCAGCAGTGGTCAGCATCGAGAGCATGTTGTCGTAGTACAAGATGTATGTGATGATCACATAGATCATGGCTGTGACGGCCTGTTTGAGGTCAGTATATGATGCAGTGGTCGAGAAATGGGACAACATACCAATGTCAAAGCACCGACAAGCTCTGATGGGGGACTGTGCTCGGCTGTGGCAATCTCGTTGATGAAGTTGGCACAAAGACCAATGACAGAAATGAGGCACGCAAACTGTGATGCCCTCATGACAGTAAAGGTGACGCCCAAGGCGCCGAGCTGCGGCGCTTGGAACCGCATCTTGTTAGGCCCGGCGTTGTAGAACTCGGTAACCAGCTCAAGCGAAGGTCTCTCCTTGGTGGCGGTTCTGAGAGGAAACTTGGATTTTGGAAACGGCGCCGTCGGGGGAGGCGGGAAGGAAGTAGTCACGGGAATGTTGGGCAACTGGTAATAAGACCGTGGGACAGGGTTTCGTTACTTCACGGCTGGATGCGTGAAGTTTTGGGGAAGATATCGGGACAGGTCAACTGCCAAGAAATGTCGAATAGATGTGGATGTGCTGGTGGTGACTGACGGTGATCGAGCAGTCAAGGAAAACCGAAGACCCAAGGAAATACCCAAGTTAAAAACCTGTAGATAATCACAAAGGAAAGATAGGAAAAAAGAGACCCTAAGAAAAAGGAAAAAAGGGAAACAAAACCCAAGGAAAAGACGTGTGTGTTGTGCTTGTGTTGCTGAACAGAAGCTCCAAGCAGCGAGCCCCGTCGAGGCAGCTCGACATCTTATGTGTCTCCGTTCTGTTCGCCAGCCATCTTGATCCGACGTTGATCCATGGCAACGGATGATTCATTTCGGCTTGAAACAAGCGCGTCTATTGGCGCCTAAGCTCCAATTGCACAACATGGGAAAAGAAACAAGGCGATCGAGTGAGGCTCTTGGAATTCGATTGCTATTTTTTGACCCAAGGCATTGGCGGCATTCTGTAGGCGCTGAACCCAGCCAATCGGAAGGCCGATGTCGCACGACTGACGGGGACTTGCATGCCCCACCAGGCCGGGCGGCTGCTGAAGTTCAACGGCCAACCAAAAATCTCCGATTGTGTTGTCTCTCGCACCGACATCAAAACAACATTCGACGCTTCCTCCATTGGCTCACAGTTGACCTTGCTGCGACTGTCCTTCGCGATGCTAGAATTACACGGATCACTGTGGCCTGCCACGGTACTACAGTCCACTCAGATGCACGGTCTGGACTGTGCTGAGTGTCGGGTCGGTAAACCCTAACCCTTACGAACAAACTCTCTCCCCAACAACACGTCTTGTGTACAGGTATATAGGTAGGTCGGTAGGTAGGTGGATGGGATCCAGCAGTTGATTTGGAGCATGGAATCGAACTTGTGATATTGCCTGACAAACCATATTGTCTGACAAACGACATATAAAGACTCCCCCTAAACTTCCTTTGCAAACTCATCGCACTTCATCCTAGCTACAATGGCCACACGTTACTCTTTCTTGTACTCGTCTACTGGAACATAATTGCCATGGAACTAGTACAGACGATCAGGATTGCCATCTGGCCCAACCTTAAACTCCACCTTCCAGAAGCTCGGCCCTTGGTCCGTACCAACCCATCGTTCACGCCGTGATAACTCGTTGCATGGCTGGAGCCAAGTGAATACGTCATCCTCATAGTGAGTGAGTCGAACTTTCTCGGTCTTGAGGCCCTGAAGAGACCAGTAGAGATGGGCTTCCTCCACGGTAACAACAACCTTGACGATATTAAACTTATCCCAGTACGTCCCGGCATAAGCACTCAGATTCCGCGACAATGGCCCGCTCATCCGTGTTCACTCAAGCTCCTCAACGAGATCAGGGTACCACCGGAGATTTGTAGCTGCTGAAATCTTGGCTGCCGCGATGTAATCGTTGCGTTTGTGGGTCGGAACCTCGAGAAACTCCTCCAGCAGCAGCTGCCCAACCCAGTCAGGGACGTCGTTGAAAGCCAGTGCGTTGGGTGTGATGACGATGGCGCTTTCCGTGTCCGGAACAAGCATGTTGAGAGCCAATGTGCCAGGCATGCTTCCTTGGTGGAAAATAACCAAACGGGACGGTACTCCTTTGCCGACAACGGGCATCCCCTCAGGCATCAAATGGGGATTGATGCCAATCTGACCCATTCTTCCGGGAGGCTGAACGCGGGCCCAGCCAAAGCCATATGACGCCTCATTTCTTGATGGCTGGTCCATGAAGATCTTTGCTGACATCAGATTCGCGATCTGCTTCCGCGGTAGTCCTTCGGTAGATGTCTCTCCGGTGGAAATTGGTTGGTCGAATGCTTTGATGAACGCTTTGCACAGCTTCATCAGGTCTTTGACGCAGGGCCGCATGCCCGCATGGGGGCCGCCGAGCCGTCGTCTCCCAATCTGACACAGGTGATGGGTGCGGAGGTCTCGTCGTCCAGAGCATTGTAGCACTTTCCGACATTGTCGAGGTCAGATGGGGGTGTTTTGAGGTAGGTGCGCGTCATGCCCAACGGTCAAAGATGCGATTCTGGATAAATTCGAAGAACGACTCTTTGCTGAGAGACTCGGTAACTTTGTCAACGAGCTTGTACGCTAGATTGTTGTAGGCAAACTGACCGCGGAATGGCAGAAGTTGTGTCTGACTGTTGAGATATTTCATCGAGCCTGCGCTGCTGACGAGGATGTTGCTGTCAGTGCTGATGAGCATATTGTCACCCCAAGTCATGGCCGATCGGTGGCAGAGAAGATTGGCGATGGTCGTCTGGTTCTGATGGGTTTCGTCCTGGATGTCCGGCGAAGGCAGCGCGTCCTTGACCAGCGTGTTCCATCTCGCTTTCTTTTTATCGACCACGAGTCCCAGGTCCGCAGAGGTAACAGCCTTGGTCAGAGAGCAAACGGGAAGAATCGTCTCGTCGTTTGGAAACAATCGTTACTCGACATCGCGGTAGCCGTAGCTGGCGAAGTACACTTGGGTGCCCTGGTGCATGGCACCGAGTGAGAGGCCACGCGTGCCAATTGCGCATCAGCTCCATAATCTTTGGACGCAAAGAATCACGTCGAGATGGGAGGCTGTCCATGATGTGGGATGGGTTGGACTGTAGTCGGTAATGTCGGTTAGTATGCGAATGATTCCAGATTGCGAGCGGAAGGGAGAAGGGAATCCTAAGAAAGGAACATACCCAAGATACGCGATGCGGCATACACAGCGTGATACACTCCTCGAGGAACAGTGCGATGGGAAATATGGTGAAGAGAAGTAGAGTGGCCGGTACGCAGAACTCTGGAAAAGACAAGTCGCAGATGAGTAAGGCGGGGGAAGGGCTGTGCTTGCGTGGCCGTATTGGGGGAAGATTTGCCGCTTTTTTCCATGAGATTAGATTGAAATCTAGGCATCGTCAGGTGAGGTGGGCGATGAGATAAGATGGCGCGAGATTGGAAGCATACCGCCTGGCGAGCCGTTGGAAGGGAACTCACGGGCGGTAGGGGCGGTAATGTCCAATGGCGGCGGTTTCCAGTGATTCATCAACCAAGATAACTCCTCACGGAACCATCATCTGGGCGGCCAGACGACGCGGGGTCGTCCTTTTGCGAGTCGGAGCTATACTCGTCGCTGGCTATGTGTCTGTGCCGGCGTGAGCCACTCCGCGCTGGCTTCCTACACATCCCGTCAGGGCAACTTCCGATGATATCAAGACGCATGTTGCGGTCCCGGAGACTGTCATCAGAGTTCTGGTTGAGCAGTTGATGAAGTCGGAGGAGTATCACTGATTGTGGGACGGCCACCGGCGGCAAAAGTGAAGCAGAAAATAGGTGAAGACTGATGATGATGTGAGAAAATCTACGCAACAGGAAAAGAAACCTGGAAGCCTTAAGAGACTGTCTGAAATACCAACAAAAGCTTTAAGCAAGAGCAATCCAGAGTGTGGGTCTCACAATCAGGGGAGTTCTACATATTGTCTTAGATTCTGATATATGATACCCCAGCCCTCCATGAATATAATTTAGGCTTTTTAAAGTCTTTATCCAAGCATTCTAAAGACTTTAACTAAGCTTTCTAAAGGCCATATTTCAATGTGCAAACAACGTTATTTAAGCTTTCTAATTAGATTATCTAAACTTTCTAATACCATCACCTAAGCTTTCTAACAATATCAAACGCTATGTAGACCTTCTAGTAACGTTATTTACCTACCTAATCTTTCTGTGGAAGCAAACCTAGGTAACCGATAGATGACAGGTATTGTGGTGAGCCCAGAGCAAAAGAAGTGTGTAGTAACTGACGATGTATTTGGGGTAGCCTGACAGAGCGAGCTGGCAAGCCAACCTACACTCACACTTCAAACCAACCAGTGCGAGTGGGTCAAAGCAAAAGTTATGGGAATAGGTCTGCCTGCTCCGTCCCACTGGAGCAGCCCACACTACAGGTATAAATTAACTGCCAGATATAAAAGAAAGGTAAGCGATAAAGAGCATGGGAATCCCACCAATATTTAAGATCTATGGAGTACCAAAATAAAGACAATAAGGCCGAAAGCCAAGTCCTGAGCTCTCCCACACATAGTATCCTTAAATAAGAGTATCTTGAAACGTTAATTGTATCAGGGGAAGGCCGTAGGCCAAGGTCTTCGCCACTGTTACCAGGGCTAAAGTCAGAAAGGTGAGTGAGGTGAGGTAGGGTCGCATCTTCACACTTTCTAATAACATCATCTATGCTCTCTATAGATATAGTCTTAGCAATAAAGTTATTGATCCAAGCTCTATTGGTATATCATAAGCTAAGCCCAATTATTACCACGGTATAAGACACAGGACGTCTGAATCGATCTTTTGACATTCCTGTGCCAAGCAACCAGTGTGGTGCTCCTCAGGTCCACCTTTAGCTAGACCCACACAGACGGGTGAGATGGATCGCTCGCAGAACATGCTAAGTTAGATCAGTCACTTTCAACGGGTCAAGCTCTCATCTCTTATCAACACTCCAGAGTTACGTAGCCCATGGGTACCTACCTTTCGCTTCAGCAGGGACACAGGCTACCTATCTTGACTTAACAAGTAGTCAAAAGCATCCCATCTCAGCAACACCCACAACCCTTCTACCCTATCTCAACAACCGTGAACAACCCCGACCCCGCCTCCTCCCCCTCTTCAATCTTCTCCGACCGAGCCCAGGAAAAACCCCGACCCCGAACCGACATCTTTGCCCTCCCAGGCCGCACCGAATTCCCAGCCAAATTCATCATCCGCCTCCACCGCAACGACGCCCGCCCCGCAGCCACCGGCTTCCTCGGCTTCATCATCATCCGCGCAACAAGCTTCCACCGTCTCATCGAGCAGGGCTTCGTCCTCGAGCCCGAGCACATCCTCAAGCACCTCTCCAGAAAATTTACAGCCCCGGTGATTTTGTCCCTGACAAATGGGACAAGTTCGCCAACGACGCTCACCCCTCCCTGGTGTGTAAACGCGTCTGGCCGATTTGAAATTAGGCGTACAGATGGGCAGGGGAGATAAAGATGTACTCGGATCAGGAGGACAGGCTGGCGACCAGTTCGCTTGATGAGGTGTGCCTTGGACGGCGGTGGCGGAGGTGAATGGGTATTTTGATACAGATGAGGGGGGTAAGATATATAACTATGTGCCGACTTGGGTGAGGACGCCGTATGATGGGAGTGGGAGGACATTCTGGTCTTTGGTTCAAGGGGTGAAGAGCGAGGATCAGTTGTGGAGGTGGTGGAGTTTTAACTTTGGGGGTGTGGAATACCTTGGGATTTGAATCGAGGATGGACGTAATTCTATGGTAGTTAGAGGAGGTTATGGTACCATCATCGTATTTATTCAAGCCGGTAACAACAAGGTACCAGCCTTAGGCAAATACATGTATCACAGCGCCATTTGGAGCGTGGTATGAATGGCGATCTCGATAATCCAAAGTCAATATTTCTCCGTAACTCCATAGGTATCGAAGATAACGAGGTTAGTGAGTTCGGGAAATATTCAAGTTTAATGGCAGCCCTCATGATACAGACATGGGACTGCAGGGTTAGCACTCAGGAGATGCTTTAGATGACTGAGACTGAATCATCAATGGAGTAACATGACGAAGGCAAAAAGTCATTTTAACGATCATCGACATATCAAAGGTAAGCCGGTAGTTGTTCATATCTGAATATCTGGGAAAGCATGCTCAACCTCCACTCTAGTACGGAAACATTAGCCATGCTCAAAGATACTGGTATAACAAGATGCCCACACCCTGTTATCTTGCACTTCGTGTGCACCAACAAGCAATCTCGCCGTATGGAGAGGCGCAGCCCAGCAATTATCCAGGAACATTCCTCGGATTCATCACCATCCCGGCGCCAGATATTCACCACTTGCTCGATGAGCAGAGCGGGGGATTTCACATGCACGAGAGGGAAATCTATCAATCAACAATGCATAACCTGGAACAAGCACATATGGGACCATCGGACGTCAACCAAAGACTATGGAGCCTGCCTATCGTTGGAAGCGCATTTGGGATGTGAAGGGTGATGAAGGGAAGTCGAAAGCAAAGATTTCAATCTACCGGGGGGATCTGAAGCATGGCCTTCTGAGATTAGCATTGGAAATCTGTTGAGCATGATGTGTGTTGTCGAGGTTTCGGGTTACCGTGAACCGGACCTCCTGGGCAAGATATATAGCTTTTATCCAGATTGAAATTCAAGGCCTCCGTGGAACAGCATCAAGCAACAGCCAGAAGAGAATTACTGTCTTGTTGAGGGTGTAGTGAGCCCCTTCCACCCGTGGTGGGGTTGGACTGTTGGGCACATGACATATTACAACCGCTGAATAGATATTGCTGCGAGCAGCTGAGTGCCGGTAGAGGCGAGAAATATCATGGTGTAATCCAGAGGTGTGAAAAGTCTTGTCGTTATTTATTCATTAATCATGGACATGCCTGACACCGATAACTCTCCTGCTGAAAACAATGATCTAAAAGTTAAGGCAGATCACTACTGCCTCAGTTCTTGTCACCATTTCCCGCAGGAGACACATGAATCTGCCAGTAGCTCCTCCAATCCCACCACTCCCCCTTCTCCTCCCAAGCCTGCTGGTTATCACCCTGACCAGGCTGCCACATCCCCAACCCAGAACCAGCGTCGTACTGAGGAAACTCAGCCCTCTCAGCCAGCAACCCCCTTGCCTTTCCATCACCCAAAAACGCCAAGAAGTCCTCCGCAACATGTACATACTGTCTCAACCCCTGATAAACATCAATTGTTGCCCCAGTCGTGAAGCTCAGAATCCAAGGCTCCAATAACGGCGCGTCCGTCACACTGGGATGCGAGGTGCCCAGAGAAGTCATAAACCAAGTCGGATTTCCCCTCTCATTATTCTCCTCCACGATCTCCTTCACCGTGTCAAAGTGCGCCCTTCCATAAAAGATGCTCGTCTTGCTGCTCCAAGAATTGCTGTGCACCACAAGCATGGGGACGTTGATATCTCTGTTCAACGGACCGCTTTGCTTCCCAGGGTCAAGGATGATAGCGCCCTTGAACGGCCTCATTGACGTCGGCCCTCCACGTAAAGCTTGCATGGCCCCAGTCGCTCCATAACTATGTCCAGCAACGATCATCTCATCTGTGTTCAACCGCCCGGCCCAGTTAACAAGATCCACCCCCTCGCCTCTGGGGTTCAACTCATACACATCCGCGCCTCGCCCCATATTAATCAACTTCATAACCCTAACCGCCTCTTCAATCTCCGCCTCCCGAAAGCTGAGCTGCGCCTTGTGGAAGTCCTCCACGCTAATCTCCCTCCCATCAGCAGTCTCAACCTCACTCTCATCGAAAATGAGCCTCTTCTCCTTCGGCAGTCCCTTCCGCTTGATCATACTCCCCGGGCAAGACCCATCTCGATGCTCAAGCATAACAACCACATACCCCCTCGCCGCGAGCTCCCCAGCATAATGGGAGTAATCCGTCCTACTGGATACAGTCCCATGAGAAAAGATGATAACCGGGTGACCTCCCACCTGTGCATTCTCCAGCACCTGCTCCTGTGTTTCTGCCTTGTCCCATGAAGTCGCAAACTGGGAGTATCTCGTCGCGGTGTCGCTTAGCGGGGCGTCAACCGCAGCGGGGATGGTGATGCTCCCGGCCAGCGTCTTGAGTGCAATCTCGAAGATTTTATTGACAAGCCGGTTGCTGATGTGCGCCGCCTTGGCGTAACCCTGAGCACGGAGGTAAAGTGGTCGTGGGATCCAAAGGTGGCGTTTGACAGTTGAGGCTTTGGCGGCGGCGTAGGTGGTGGGGTAGTAAACGGTGAAGAGGACGGTTTGGAGGTCGAAGGCGGAGGTGGAAGTTGCCTTGAATCGTGCTGTGTCGATGGTGCGCACGGGCATAACGGGGGATTCGATATCGATTGCGCCGACGGCGTAGGGGCCAGTGTGTTGGGGGAGTGGGTGGGCGAAGATGGGTTGGGAGGTGAGTTTGCAGTAGAGGATGTAGCTTAGGCCGAGGAAGATGGGGAGGAATCGCCATCGGAGGAGGTTGAAGGGGAAGGTCTTAGGGGTGTGGCCCCCGGGAGCTTCTGGGAATGGCTTCATGGTAGCCGGTATAACGATGCTATGTATAGTATGTGGATGAAAATATTGTGTCACTGATGGAGAGGGTCGCTGGTTATTTTATGTTGCTGATCGACAGCTATGATGCAACTGCGCCTGTGCCCCAAATTGCCAAGCCTTGACCCAGCAGCCAGGTTTGTGACATCACCGGTGTTACCCGGCAGCCAATTACACGGGCTGATCAACAACTCGGACCAGATTGTCGGGCTTGATTGGGTTTCAGCACATGGCCAAATCAGCAAAATTATTGTCTCTTCATCCCACTTCTTTGACGTATGTATGTAGTATGTTCCAGAGTTGAAAATCTGACAAATCCGCAGTGGGTGTGCACAGACCATCTTCTTTGTCACCATGACAGCCCCTGAACCCCTGAATTGCTTATTGACAGAGTCACAGCGCCTTCCTTCTTTAAACAGTTGTGATGATGCAGCAGCCAGCCAATGGTGGCAACCAGAGCCTGTAAAGACACGATTGACAACTTGTCACAAAGGGTGCAGAAATGTGATGTAGTAAGTGAAAACAAAAGCAAAGCATGTAAATTCAGCGCTAACTAGGTACCGCTTGTCCAACTCACAACTTTTCCCCCATCCCATTATCCTCCATAGCATCGTGTCCAGCATCATTCGTATCTTCTCTCTAGACCAAAGCCTGCCAGCCACCAACTTAGGCAGCGATCATCTGAGCGCGGCGGCCGATGGGGGCGGCCTTGATGGCAGCAGCGGGAATGACATTCTCACGCTTGGTAACCTGGAGACCCTCGTAGCTCTTGATGGCAATGTCAATGGTGTTGCCGAGAGAGTTGGCCTGATTGGGGACATCGTTGGTGCCAGCGACGACATTGATGAGGGCAAAAGCAGCAGACTGTCTGGTCAGCGTTCAAGTTCAGTCATGCTTAGGGGTAGAAAAGGCTCACATCAACAACAGACTCGAGCTGGCGAAGGACGGCGGCAACTGGCTGTCCAATGATGGGGACGGTCTGGAAGAGGCCAGCCTTTCCGATCAAGATGTTGAGAAGCACCTGGTGGACGCGGACAAACTCGCGGAAGGCGTCGGCGACGGTCTTCCGGTCGGCGTCGAGCTCGAATCTAGGGGTGGCAACAATCTGAGGGACGGCGGTAGTGGTGATGGTGATGATCTCAGTGAAACCTTGGATGATTTGCTGGCAGAGGAATTAATAGCCTGTCACTTGGAGGGTAGGCATGTAAGGGGACAAACAGGGAAAGGGCCAAGGCCAACGACGATGAGAGGGCCGTTGATGATGGTGATCTGCTGAGCGGGAGCCTGGAGAGCCTGGGACTTGGCTGTCAAGGTCCTGAGCGTATCGGCAATCTGGGTGGAGGTGAGAGCAGCCATGGCGGGGGCAGCAAGGGCAATAGTGCCAGCGATGATGTTGCGGAAAGAGACCATTTTGGCGGTTGTGAAGTGAGCTTATGAAGGATGGAAAGGTGTCGGGTTAAGTGGTTGAATGTGGGTGGACTGTTGGATGAAGAGCTGTGATGAGTGATGGAGAAGATGTCTGGATGAACCTGGAGGATGAGAGGGCCTCTTATAGGCCAATCTCGCGTCCATCTGTCACCAAGTCACCGACTTTCAGCGAGGCTCTGTCGTGGAAAGCCTGGAAAGCGCAGTTGCCGCGCAGAGCTCTATCCAGTGATCCTCAAGGCCAAGCTTCGCGACGATCAGCAACAGGGTGTTCCTGGTATGAGTCACGGCCAGGGTTTTCATGGAGGCACATGGGAGGAATGCCGAGGATCTTGAGTTAGACTCAGACGGGTTACTCTGTTGAGATGACAATGATTCAAATGCCATAGCATCGCGGTGAGCGAGGCCCAATGAGATCGCTGTGGAACCCCTAGATCCTCCTAAGCCGAGTCAGGATTTGCGAATTACTTACAGGCTACCTCATGTCGCCGCGTTTGGCGGCGCAAAGCCTTCATTTTTTGCAACGTTACAAATCGTGACTGTTCACGAAAGCATACCTCCTGCGGCGATCATGGCTTCTCACCCTCCCAGTCTCTCCCCTGCAGCCATTGCAGTGTCCGGCCTGGCAATCGAATTCACTTCCCATTTCTGCTAAAATTGAGACACAGGCCGGCTCAGATACCGCGCCCAGGCAATCCAAACAGTTGAAACATGGTGCCTTTGCTTGGGATCCCATTTTCATGCCTGGTGTCATGCTTCCAGGTTACCGGGCAAGAGCATTCATTCCAGCAACTCACCGACGTTGGTATAAGCTCAGATGATTTTCTGATGAACTGGCAGGGGACAAGGCATACCCGTAACAGGGCCGACTCGGCAAGAGATCGCAAGGCCGCGAGTGGATAGACAAATCAAGCCCCAATACCCAATAGTGCCAATCCACGCTTCTTCAGTAAAAACGCGATGTGGCATCTGCAGTGCAACGATCCCTTCCCACATTTGACATCGCAGATCTTGAGGCTAAAAAAGCTTGCGAGATGGCGCTAGCCCAAACACAGCGTTCCCGAGTCAGCTGTTCCAGCACCAGGTCGTCATGCCCTTACCAGTAGTGATCGGCAGTACCATCCACCGCCAGCAGATCTTTGACAGGCGAGACAGGGTACCCCAGAAAGCAAAGGGTTCAATCACCCGGAGCTAAACTCTATTCAACATGGTGAACTGGCAGGTCAATATCAATAACTCCGACTGTGGCCGCGAAGGGCCGGTGGCCTCCCGCTTGCCTTCCTTCCGCAAAGCTTGATCCGCGCAGCTATCCCTCTTGTGTGCTAGCACAGCCGTAGAGGTTCATTGCTTCTCCTACACAAGCTGGGCAAGCGCCGATGATGCCCAAAAGCCCATGGTGAAGAGGATCGGAGGTCGGCATCAAGATCGATCTATTGATCCCTTTCTGCATGCTTGGAAGCCGTATGCCAAGGGAGAATATAACGCCACATGTTTCGGATCGCGATTGCCGGGTGGTTACCGGTATGGACACCGGTGATGGATCTCATGAAACCACATACTAAATCCGGCATGACCCAGCCAATAGGGTTCCAATGTGTCGAGAACACAGTAAGCGTCCACAGCTCTGCGTGGCACAGCAGAGGTTCGACCACAACACACAGCCATTCTAAGCCTCCCTGGGTTGTACAGCAGGACCTCAGACGTGGAACTTCTAAACCTTTTGCCAATTATAGCGCCACCTAGAGTTGACTGAACAACAATAAGTTGGTAAGAATGCATAAAGAGCTCACACCATCTACATCTACTTTTGGAAGGTTGTCGAGCCAGCCTTCTTTGCCAATATTGATTCCAGGCGTTGCTTTTGGTGAATTTACGGTCAAACATGGCCCTGTTGGGAAGCAATCTACCTTGAGCAGGACCCAATTAGGTAACGAGATAAGCGCAATTGGCTGCCTTTGATCTACTGGATGTGATCCAGACGGATGGTGCCATGTCGGATGTTGCGGGACAGTGTCCATGTGATGAATATCGGTGTCTTCACTTGGCCTTGTCCTGAGAGACATGGGGTTGGAAGGACGAGCTTTTGGGGAGCAGTGGCGTTGGTGCCAACAGCCCAAGAGAAAATTACCTAGGTATCCGAAGCTGTCTTCGACCTTGACATGTGACACCTCATGGGATCGTCTGAGACTTCTGCAGAAAGGGCAGCTTGCCCACACCATCTTGACGGGGGCTGAGCACAACGAGTTTACATGTTACTAACAGTCACCTGGATTACTTTTGATATTGATGCTTTCTACCCACGGTATTTGTCTATGAGACCCGAGACTAAGAAGTATTCCTGTCTCAGTATCTCCTTCCCAGTCCCTCTCCGATCCACCAGCTCAAACTCTCCCTCACAACACACTCATCTGCAGTCTCTGCAGTGGGAACACCCCATTTTATCATATCCCCCGGCTTCCCTGCCACAGTAACATACGTCTCCGACTTCCAAGTTAGAGCCAGCAAATCATGCAAGTCTCGCCAAGTGACATTGATCCTTCTGCCACTCCCTCTTCCAAGCAAAAACGGGGAAGGACCAACCCAACATACACCAACAGAACATCCAACTAAGTCAGCATTACCCCCAAAGCGAATTTCATACCCTCCGTTGGCTTCCCGAACCCATACCCATACTTCTGGGCCTCAAGAGGAAACTTGAGATAACTTTCCACCCGCTCCCAGGTGAAATCATAAAACTCCATATGTTCCCCCAATCTCGTGACGCCCCTGCCACTAGACCAATCAACAACCATATTCCCCGCCAAAGGGCCAGATTGCACATCCAAATGTGTCATGACAGTCGCTGTCTCGTTTGACGCAATCGTCAATTGGCTATGCCCATGTGACTGCATCCTCGCAAGCCCATCCACAAACACCCCGCTGAAAACCTTCTCAAAAAGCGCCCTGCTGCTGAACAGTCCAAAGTCTTCAGTTGGTTCAAAATCCCCTATCTTGTCAAAATCCAACCCCGGCCCGGAATTCCCCGCCCCAGGCCCATCCCCAAAAGAAGTATTCTTCATCCCCAAATTAACCAGCTTATCAATACGCGTATGTGTCCTGCCAGTCTCGTGCGGGTTCTCCATCTCGGCTCCCATCACCCTATTAAGAAAAGGTAACCACCCAGCCGTGATCTTGATCCTCTTTGCTGTGCCCTCCACAACATCATCAGGGCTGTTGTATTGACGCAACTCCTCGATGAACTCGCTCTCGTTGAGGGAGACTCTGACCGGGGAGGCGGGCACCCAATGAGCCATCACTGTGCACGCGAGAACAGCTTGCTTGATTTTATTTTCGGTTTGGTTGAAGTAAGGTGGAACGCTACCCAGCAGAGACAAGGACTGGGTGTGTCTCTTTTTTGATGATGTTAGGTGCCTGAATCTTGACAAAGACATCGCCTTGTTGAGGGAGGGGTGTCTTGAAATTTTGAGCTGCCACTAGCGTTGCTTTGCAGTCTTGATCATCGAAGCATTGGATGGCTTTGGGGTGGTTGTTGAAATGAGTGTTTTGTTCTCGGAGAGTTCGTCGCGTTTGCCCTGACGCAGTACCTGGTAAATTTAGACAAAGGGCTGGAGTAGGTCTGTTGCCTCAGGTGATGCTTGTATCCTGAAAGCTTCCGCGTGTGAGATAGCCCCGACGTCTTGGAGGCGAGTTCTTCCTGTGCCGCGATCGATACGGCGTTGATGTAGTTGAGAAAACGGGTGAAGGTTCGCAGTGTTGGCATTGAGACTGTCGTGGCAACTGTCGAGTTGTAGGTGATGTTGAGGTCAAGGTCCGAATCTCAGAGGGTGTTGATCTTGACTTGACGACGAGTCAAATCAACCGGGTTGACGACAGCAATGATGTCTGATAACCCCGTGTGCTGCCAGTTCCTCACCCAGCTTCAGAGTTCTTGATGGCCCGCGCTTGGGCACCAATACGCCATGGGCCAGTTGTCATCTTGGCAATTGTTAAGAAATGGAGTAGTCTCCAGACCACCTATGACAGATGGCCAGGTTCCATCGCCGGGACGATCGGATGATACTGGGCCTTGAACGTTACCAAAAGCTTTGGGGAGGAGAACTAGTCCTTAATGGGAATAAGCAGAATGGCGGAGGCAGGACCAGTCAGCACAGCTAGAATCATCTTAAAAAATAGCAGCAGAGCCAGAAAACAGCTGGACTTGGTCAACTAGGCTTTTTGAATGGCGAACTGAAGGTGTATGCGATGTCGCCCACAGGGTAGCTATCGATGGCGAGACCGCGTGGGATCCCTGATCTGTTGAGTCTTCGTGTAAACGCTATGTAGGTAATGGCCGCAATTGAGGCGACGACCAACAGTTCGTGGAACTTTGATGCCAGCTGAAGCATGCAGAGAAGAAGGTGGGGAGCAGATCCCGAACTGAGATCATAGCCGAACCAGAATACTGGCTTGAAGTTGAGAGGTACCAGAAAGCTCGTAGGAGTGGCAGGTATTAGATGGACTGCCACTGTGAAAAAGGCCCGCCATGTCAACAGAGAGTGGCACCATGGTCTCCTAACAACCCGGATGCCTTTGTGGTCAAGTAGTTCAGTTCTATAGACATCATCCGGAACGTCCTTCTCAGAGAACGGAGTCACTTGTGGGTTTGGGCTATTGTGAGCCAGACGTGCGCCGGCCTGATCTCCTTGTTTTGATGGTAATGTTGACCCGCTTTGGTGGAGGACTTGATATTGCTGACTGTCTGGTGTTGAGTTCCCTGATTTGAAGCTGTCGTAGGCGAGTGGTCGGAAGCCCTGCTCGTTGTGGTCCAACGGGGACTAAACCTGTTCGTAATGTTGCGCCATTCTGATTTCTTCAAGTATGCATTAGGCGCTCATGTCGGTAAGGTGTGTTGGATGGCTTGAAGAAACTGGAGAACAACACTCCCAAAAATTGCAGTCATCATAGCTCTACCAAAACATGGATCCATTTGTCCTGGCCCAACCAAA